GGGGTGGGTGGAGAGTGGGGGGTGAGTTGTTTCTCACTTTCTTTCTCTCTCTCTCTGTCTGTCTCTTCCCAGAGACTACAGGCACCCAGTAGCTAAAACTAAAAATAACCAAAAAAAATTTTTCTGTGAGAAACAGCATTTTTCATTAAATGTACCATATTTGTCATGTTGTCATTTTTCTTTTAAACATACTAGTAGTCACAACACTGGGAAGAGAGGCCCAGTAACCCGTGCCAAGTAACCTGACCAAATCTGACCTCTAGGAAAGGGCCTAAGCCAGGGCTGGAACCCACAGTGTCTCGGGATGGAGACATTCACTACCTCACAGGATCCTATAGGGGTTAATCAAGCTCACGTGACCTAGATCTGCCAGATGAGTTCCTTTAAAGTTCTAACAGTTACTCTGTGACCTTGGCAAGTTACTCCACTTCCTCGTTTGAAAACCGTAGGACATAAAGGTACCTACCGCAGAGTTGCTATTAAGATTAAATGAACATGCACTCAAAGTACTCAGTGCAGGCCTGGTGGGTAGTCAGCACGAAATATTATAAATGGTAGCTGTGATTCTAAGAACAATGTTTGTTGAGTGATTGACTCTGGCATCGAACGCCTGCACTCCACTTCAAACAGGGAGCTGTCACAGTCTTTAGCGGAAGGGGTGGGAGCTGTCGCACTTGCCAATTTCTTCTAGAAATAAATCTTTGTGGGAGGATAATGACCGGTTGGGAAGCACGAGTCCTGCGGGAACAAAGATCTGACCCCTAGCCGAAGCAGCAAGAAAGCCAAGTGTCCCCTTACGGCTGCAGCCACCGTGCAGAACCTCCTCCGGACAGAGTAGCAGCCGGCGGGGCACGCCCAGCCCAGGGCAAGGCCGCCTCAGAAGCCGGATTTCAGCCGAATGGAGCAAAATCTCAATCCCGCTCGTCTTATTCTCGGGGACTCCACCCTGGGCGCCTGGAGGAAGGACTCCAAGACCGCGGGGCGGAGGCTTCCGCGCGGCCCCAGACCTGACCATCTATGGTCACAGAGCGCGCCGAACAAACAGGAAGTGGGGCGAGAGTGGAGATCGGCCTCGTTTCCCAGCCCCGGGCGCGCCCAGACACCCCGGACTGGGCCCTCCGCACTCTCACTGACCAAGACCCGCCGGTCTTCCGGAGCACTGTCCAGACCAGTCGCCGGCCCACATCACAAGCAGGGAAACCGAAGCATGCACGTTCAGAGCAGGGCGGAGCTAGGCTGTGATCCCCGGGATCTAAGGGAGAGTTGAAGGCCTCCCAGGGTTCCTGCCCTCAGGGGACCCTGCCCCTCAATGCTCCCAAGATCCCTTCCAGATTGCTACGAAAAAAGGACCAGCCTTTGCCAATGAGACCAAACCGAGAGGAGAATTAATTAACCACTCGCCCGTCCTCCTCCCGGAGGTGGAGCGTGGCCGTCGACCCCGCGGGTCGTTGGCTGGTGCCTCCCAGCACGACTCCGGCTCAGAACGGCGGGGGGCGTGGCCTGACCTGAGGACACGCCCTCCATGGGTCGCTCCCGCCCTGGGGGCGGGGCTCTTTCCCAATGCCCACTGGGCTGGCCGGGCCGCTGCGAGGCGTGGTGCGTAGGGGGCGGAGTCACGAGAGGGGCGGCCAGACTTCCTCCCCAGTCGGGGTCTAGCCTAGCGTTTCAGCGGGCGACTCATTTCCGGTGGGGGTGCCGCGCCCAGTGAGGGCCCGGAAGTGGGTCGCGCGGAGATTGCTGGGCGGTTCTTGCCGGAAGTGGAGAGCGGCTCATCGCAGTCCCGAGGTAAGGCAGAGCTGTGAGGTGAGGGTCCGTGGTTGGGTAGGGACTGGGATCCCCTCCACGGCGCACCGGCTGCAGGCGTTGTTAATGGCCCTCCTGGCCTAGGCGCGTGTGCTGAGCCCTGCTTAGGAGCCGGGGTTGAGGCCCTCAGGCCGACCTGGACAGCTGGGCGCGGTCTCTTGAGGTGGAGCCGGGGTGACCAGCCGAGCCCGTTTGTCCTGGGGAGGCCCCTCTGATCGATTTCGCAGTGCTGAGCCTCCGCGGTGCCCTGACTGAAAGGGACCTCCGAGACCGTAGAGTTTCCTCCTCTCGCTCCCATTGCACGGATCGGTAAATTGATCTCGGATGATGGGAAGAGGCTGGTCTAAGATCATATAGCAAGTGAGCAAGTGAATCGGAATCATGATCCCAGATCCTTCCCATTGTTGGAACCTCTCTCCAACTTGCTCTGATCTTCCGGTTGGTGTTACCTCGCAGGCAACTGCAGATGAAAGGCCACCGCCGCGTGAAACTGTCTTTTGGTAATTCAGACCTTCGAGCTGGCATGTTGGGGAGAGCTTTGGAGAGTCGAACAGGTCCTTGTATTTGCCTCCCCTACGTTCTAGTCGTTGCTCTTACTGTGATTAACTTTATTAGGGTGTTGTGTACTTCTAGATCTGAAATCAGATGGCTCAGGTTTGGGCTGTCCCCACTGCCAGGTATCTGTGGCCGTAGATGTCTTATTTAATTTCTTTAAACCTCATTTTGCCTATTTTGTAAGTGGAGATCTTTGCTCACCCCATAGGATTAAATTCAGTCTAACCAATTGTGTTTATTCAGTGCTAGCATTCTGCCAGACCCAGAGAATGCAGATTTGAAACAGAAACGAACTAGACCTTGCCTTCACGGAGCTAACAGTGTTTGCAGCGGTGTTTAAGTAATTAGAAAGGTGCTCAGTGTTAGGAGAGGACAGGGTACCCTGGAGGTATGTAACAAGGCGTTCAGGGAAAGCCCTTCTGAAGAGGCAGAGTTTAATGTGAATTTTGAAGGGTGAACAGGAGTAAATGGGATGAAAGGGGATGAGAGCACTTTAGACAGGTTAGCACCAGAACTGTGTAAATTGAAGCTCTTTGTAGGGATCCCTCTTCAAGTGGAAATCTGGGGACTGCCCAGCACAGTCATTTTTTAACAAACCTTGTGGAAACCTTAACATGTGTGAAGCATGTATTAAATGCGGTGCTTAGCTCTTGTGGCTAAGAATACAGTTGTTCTCAAGGAATTTACACTGGGGAGGGGGCTGACCAGTACATCAGCTATCTTAGTGTACTGTGTGAACACAGAGCAAAGGGAGCATAGAGGAGAATTACCTGACCCAAGTTTCCAAGCTTTCGGGAAGGAATGGGAGGCTACTTTTTGCAAGATTATTTAAACATATGGTGCATCTGGAAGAGACCTCCAGGCATGGAGGACTACAGGTGCAAGGACATGGGAACTTGGACTCATGAAAGTGTGACCAAGTTTGGGTAATGCTTAAAGTGAAGGAAGTGAGAAGTGGTGGGGTCGGGAACCAGCATTTAGCATAATGGCTATGTTGCTGGACTCCCACGTAATTGACCGCAGTTCGCGTCCCGGACCTGGTGGCTTAAAACTCATGCCGGGCATGTGTGCGTGCATGCCCAAGATCCCAAGAGGAGAATGGAGGAGAAGGGATTGCAGTGTGACCATCCCCTCTGGGGGGTGATTTCTCGCTTTCTGTCTCTATGTCTCTCTCTGTCTGTCTGGCGAGTGCATGCGCCCTATAGTAAAAAAAAAAAAACTCAAAAGAAAGAAGTGGTGTGTTCAAATACAGAAAAAACAAAAACAAAAACAAAAAAACTCAAAAGAAAGAAGTGGTGTGGTCAAATACAGAGGACCTCTTAAGCCCTGTTAAGGAATTTGGGTTTTATCCTGAAAGTTATGAGAACGCTTTGAAGGGTTTCATGTAAGAAAATAGTATCAGATTCATGTTTTAGAAAGTTCAGTCTGCCAATGAGAGGAACCAGTGTTTGAAAACTATTACCTCAATGAACAAAGACATGGAAGCAAGAATGGAGAGGTGGGTTTGTACTTGAGCAATAATAAAATGATGAAATTCATAGAATTGGAGGCTGATTGGGACCAGCAGATGGCATAATGGTTATGTCGCTGGACTCCCACATGACCAACCACAGTGGTTTAAGACTCACGCTGGGCATGCCCAAGATCCCAGGAGAGTGGAGGAGAAGGGATTGCAATGTGGACAGTCCCCTTGGGGGGTGATTTCTTGCTTTCTATCTCTCTGTCTCTCCTGTGAGCACACATAGCCTATAGCAAAAATCTCTCTAAAAAAATAACAAAACAAAACAAAAAAAACAAAACCTGGAGACTGATTATGGGAATGAAGAAGTAGGACCTCAATCAGGTGGACAGGATCTAAGCATGCTGTCTGGCTTTCTGGCCTAGGGAACTGTGTAGTACCGTTCAGACTGGGAATATGATAGGTCATATTAGGGAGAAAGGTCAGTCAGGGAGGTGACATGGAAAGAATTAATTTGGGGCATGTTTAGTTGTGTTGTTTATATCACATCCAGGCAGAGATCTCTAATAAAGGGTCCCAGCTAGAAGAAACAGCTCGAGCAAAGATGTGGAGCCTAGAAAGGGCCTCTGTTCAGCGAAGTACTGGGGACTGGAGTGGGAAAGAACGTAAGACCAGAAAAAAAGGTCCATGTCTGCCACAACAAAAGCTGTGAAGAGCTTTTGACGTCTTTTTGGAATTTGCTTGGATTCTTCTTGAGGCAGGCAGTTTGCCAATTGAATTGTGTAGTCCAGCATAAAGAAACTTCTGTAGGAATTTTCCGACTTCCCCAGATATACTTTGTCAGGTGGGCATAAGAGATGTGTCAGAGGGGTTTAACTTAAATGGTAGCAATGAAAGAACTTTGTAAAATACTACCGGCCATGCAAATCAAAAATGGTGGTATTCAAGGAACCAGCAGTTGGCATAATGGCTATGTCGCTGGACTCCCATGTAGTCGACTGCGGTTCATGTCCCGGACCCAGTGGCTTAAACTCACCCTGGGCACATGTGCATGCGTGCCCAAGATCCCGAGAGGAGAATGGAGAAGGGATTGTGGTGTGGCCATTCCCCCTAGGGGGTGATTTCTCACTTTTTATCTCTCTGTCTCTTTCTGTCTGTCTGGCGAGCGCACGTGCCCTATAGCAAAAACCTCTCCAAAAAAAAAAAAAAAAATGGTGGTATTCAAGAGTCAGTGAGTGGGCTGGTCCCTTGGCTTAAGGGAGCCGGATCCCACATTAATTCCACACGTTATTCGAATCCCGGTCCTGGTAGCTTAAGAAACACTCTGTGCATGTGTGTGCATGTCTCAAATTCTGACAGGATGCGGAAATGGAAGAAAAGGGATTGCAGTGTAACTGCCCCGTTGTGGGATACTCCCTTCTCTCTCTCTCTCTATCTCTATCTCTTTCTGTAAGCGCATGGGCCATCTTGCAAAAACAAGGGAAAAAAAGGTTGAGTGAGTGTATTTTTTTTTTTAAAGAGGTTAGCTATTGCGTATAAAAGATTATTTCCCACTTGAGAGGTGATCTTTTACATCACTCTTTGTCTTGACTGTTTAGTAGCAGTTATTTCTTAACCAGGGACTGAGCCTTTAAAAAGTGACTTCCTCCTTTCGGTTTCCTCTGAAGCACTTGAGTCAAAGGTTCATTTTGCTTAAACAGGCAAATGCAAAGTATCATTGGAAGTTGAACCTTCTGGTTTGAAATTTAATGCTGAGATTTGAAATCCGAGAATCCTCAGGCTGTATTTTACCCAATCCTTGTGATTATTCCTTTGAAATGTCATCATCAGTTTCTTTGTTTTCTACCAACCTGGGTTTCATACCTGTAGTTCAATTTCTCTACCACAACCAAACTAATCTTTTCAAATTCTTTAAAAATAATCATTTTCATCTCATTACCCTTCAACTGGCTTCATCTTCCCAAAGAATCACATTTAAACTCCTTCTCCAACCTACAAAATACTCCACAAATTCTTATCTTAATTTTCACTGGGACAGTACAGACTTGACTTTCTAATTTGCAAGGCCTGAACTACTATGCTAGCATTGTATCAAACCTTTTATGCCTCCCTTGTGCTTCCTTCTTACATGACAGCAGTTTTTCAACCTCATTTGATGTTTTGGGCCAGATCGTTCTTCCTCCTGGTGCTGACCTGTGCTTGTAGAATGTTTAACATCATCTCTACCTCTATTCATTAGATGCCCATAGCTCTTTCTTAATCGTGACACCCAAAAATGTCATCAGACATTGACAAATATCTCCTGGACAGAGTCTCTGGTTGAGAATAGCATTGGAAAGTATAGCTTTGATAGCACAATGTCTTACCTCTCCAGTTAAATTCTCTGTGGGTGGGGCCAGCAAGTGGTGTAGTGGTTAAGGTCGCTGGACTCCCACATGAACAACCGCGGTTCAAGTCCTGAACCTGGTGGCTTGCTTTCTCACTTTCCCTCTCTCTCTCACTCTGGTCAAATTTAAATAAATAAATAAAGTTAAATAAAATAATTATTTAAAAAAAAATTCTCCGTGGCTTGACTCTGTGATCAGTCACATTTAATACAGTGTATGGCACATGATAAACACTCAGTACCCTGCCGTGAATGAATCATTTGTTTTTGTTGAGGCATCAAGTAGATGCTGTTTCTTCAAGGAATTCCTGGGTGATTCCTAAGTACTTGGCCTCCCCCTGCCCCCTAGAAGATGTCATTGTAAAAGAATAATGTCAGCGATTAGGCACTGGAAGCATGCTTTGGGCACTAGTGCAAGTCAGCAGGTTCCCTCTTCCCTGTATTGGGGATGTATAAGTTCTTGTTTTGTTCATGTTCGTGTTGCCTGCATTTAGACTGCTTGGTTTCAGTGGACAGGGATAATCGTTTAATTTTAAATTGCATATAGTTTATAGAGTTGGTCTTCATGTTTATTTTAGTGAA